TCTCTCTCTCTCTCTCTCTCTCTCTCTCTCTCTCTCTCTCTCTCTCTCTCTCTCTCTCTCTCTCTCTCGTAACCTGAGACCCACCTCGTCAGCGTCTGATTTTATAACGACAGATATTCCTTGCGGTTAGAGCAATGTATAAATTATACAGAATTAATTAGATATGAACGGATAGAGGGAAATATGTGAAATGTATATGATGGAATATTATGATCAAATGTTATGAAGATACCTATGCAGGGTGGAAATGACGTCGGTGAGAGATAGATTGATAGGTATTTAGATAGATAAGGAGAGAGAGAGGAGAGGAAAGAGGGGGTGACAGACAGAGACAGAGACAGACAGACAGAGACAAAGAGAGACATAGTAGAAAAAGAAAAGAGTAGGAAAAAAGAGAAAGAGAAATATATAATATATATGAAGAAGGAAAGGAAGAAATAGAGAAAGAAAGAAAGAAAGAGAAATAAAGTAATTCACAAGATAACACAACCCTTCCCCACTTAACACACACACAAACTTAAACAACAACAAAAAAATATCAAGAATGCACCGAACTAAAAAAAAAAAGACCCGCATAGACGGTAATAAAAGTGAGAAGCGACGAAAGAGGAAGAAAACCCATAACAAAAAAAAAGAAGAAAAAGCAGATGCGTGGAAGTGAGAAAAGACATAAAAATTACAGCCTCCCCGCGGTCATTGAAAGGGTTAAAGTTATTGTACTCCTAAAATTCAATACAAACTCTTATCGAACGCAGACTAAACAAGAATTGTTCAAAAAACGTAGCTCACCAAAATATAAAGTATATATAGATGTAATTAAAGTAAGAGAGAGAGAGAGGAGAGAGAGAGAGAGAGGAGAGAGAGAGAGAGAGAGAGAGAGAGGAGAGAGAAGAGAGAGGAGAGAGAGAGAGAGAGAGAGAGAAGAGAGAGGAGAGAAATGTACTTTTCACGGCGAAATCCAAAGAGAGTGAAAGAAAACTATGTGTAGAAAAAAAAAAAAAAAAAAAAATGCCGACCCCAAACCGGCTGCGGGCATCCCAGCCCAACCGACCCCACGGCACCGACCTGGCCACCTCCCCCCCCCTTTAGCTCCTCCCTCTCCTCCTCTTCCTCCTCTCTCTTCTCTTCCTCTTTCCTCTTCCTCTTTCCTCCTTCTCTTTGCTTTCTTTCCTCTTCCTCTTTCCTCTTCTCTCTTTGTTTTCCTCTTCCTCTTTTCTTCTCTTTGCTTTTCCTCTTCTCTCTTTCTTCTTTCTTGGCTTCTTCATTTTTCTTTTCTAAGGCTGTTTCATCTTCATTTTCATGTTCATCTATTTTCCTCTTCTTCCTCTTATTATTATTATTATTATTCCTCTTCCTACTTCATCTTCGTCCTCCATCTTATTTTCTTCTTCCTCTTCCTCATTTTCCTTCTTCTCCTCCTATCCCTCCATCTTTTACTCTTCTTCCTCCTCCTCCTCCATTACTCATCTTATTCCCCCTGTTATTCTTACTTCCTCCTCCTCCCCTCCTCCCTTCTTCTTCTTCTTTTCTACTACTTCTTCTTCTTCTTCTCTTCTACTACTACTTCTTCTTCTCTTCTTCTTCTTCTTCTTCTTCTTCTTCTTCTCTCTTCTTCTTCTTCTCCTCCTCCTCTCTTCCTCGATCCTCCTCCACTCCAACCTCCTCTCACTCCAACCCTAACCCTTCCCTCCCGCGCTCACGATCTCGAAGCCAGCGTCTCTCCGTGTGTTGCGTGTGTGTGTGTGTGTCTGTGTGCGCGCGCCCCTCGTGTGTGTACGTCTGTGCGGGCGCTGCTCGTTCGGTGCCCGTGTTTAGTGGGTCAGAGAGGACGATCGAGTCAGCACACGCACACGCCCCGTCCCTCAGCTCCGCGACTGGAGCTCAGTGGACGCTCAACCGGCTGCGAGTGGAATCGTCTTCGATCGTCTATTGTCTTCAGCGATAGAGGATTCGATCTGATACGAAGATGCTTTTTTGTTGAGAGATTGGGAGATCGGATAGCGGTGGGTGTTTATAGTGTGGGAGAGAGATAGAGAGAGAGAGGAATGAAGTGAAACGGAGAGAGAAACAAGAGAGAAATAGTGTGTAGTTGGTGGAGACGATGGGTTGAAGAGGAAGGAAATGAAATAAGTGATAAAAAAGATAATAACGAAAAAGAAACAGGTGCAAGAAGATAGAGAGAAGAATAGAGCATCTTGACCTGACCTCTATTTCAGCGAGGAATCGAAAGCCTGGAAGAGGGAGAGCGAAGAAAAACGAAATGACCGGCGCGGTGTAAAAAAAAAAAAAAAAAAAAAAAAAAAAAGAAAGAAAAAGAGAGAGAAAAAAAATCCTCTTTCTTTCCTCTATTAGTGCCATTGATTACCCGAGTGCCATCAGTGCCATACGCGATACAGCAAGTGCCAAATAGAACCTCAGGTGCCTCAGTCACTCACGCAAACGCACGCACAAAGACTTCACAAAAATGTCTTGGAATCCACACAAGAAGATGCCCAGGAAGGTAAGACGTCCATTGACTCTCCGGTGCGGGTATGACTCTCCGGGCCGGTATGACGATCCGCTTATGACAGGATAAGTTAGAGCTTTATATGTTCAAAGACATATTTAATCAATTCTGATCAATATTCAACAAAAACTAATCAGTATTCAATAAAATCAAATTAATATTCAATAAAATCAAATGAATATTCAATAAAATAGAATCAATATTCAATAAAAAGCTAGTCAATATTCAGTAAAAATTAATATGTATTCATGAATTAATGATATCCACACACACACACCACACGTACACAAACACCCGTGCACAAACACATACACAAACACAAACACACGTACACACACAAAACACACGTACACACACACAAACACACAAAACCCACGTACACAAACTCACGCACACAAATACGTATCTACGAGTGAACATATCAAAATCAATACCATTTTAATTTGAGTTTTGCGTGTGTCCGTCTCTCGAGGAGTGTCCCCGCCATTAAGCGAAAGGATCACTAAAGTCATTATCGAATTAGTAGAACAGCTTCACATCCGGGAAACGCAGTGCTGGCGGGGCGCGCGCGACATCGAAATCCCTCGGGGTAAAGGGGTGGAGGGGGGTGGGGGGGGGGGGGGGGGTGGGGGGTTGATGATTGTAAATAAGAAATGCTGGATTTCGGTTTATTCTGTATGTATGCATATATGAGCACATACTTACATGCATAAATACACACACACACGCACACACACATATGTATGTTCTGTGTGTGTGTGTGTGGTGTGTGTTGTGTGTGTGTGTGTGTGTGTGTGTCTGTCTGTTCTGTCTGTCTGTGTGTCTGTGTATGTTGTGTCTGTATGTTTGTCTGATGTGTGTTTTGTGTTGGTGTATGCGTGCGTATGTATCTATACAACACATTCGTATATCCCCAGTCAAAAATCCCTCAAAACCCAAGAAATTGAAAACACACTCCCAGAAACTCCAAACCATCGCCACGCCTCCCCACCATCGACGCTGTTCACCTCCACCAAACCAGCAATTTTTATTCCGCTTCTTAATTATTCTCCTTATGTCACTTCCCCCTCATTGACATGACTGTCATGCGCGAGAATCGGTCAGGCAGGCGACATGACACGTCCCCAATACTCGAGTTCAGGAAGTGTTTGAAAAGATTTTGTGTCCTCCATTCCGAGTGTTAAATTGGTGTTATATTTATCTACTTTTATTAGTATTATGGCTATTATTATTGTTATTTATTCTTGTATGTATTTATTATCTTTATATGTTGGTCTTTTGTTATACTTATTATTTCTGTTTATTAGTATTATGGCTATTATTATTGCTATTTATTCATGTTCGTATATATCATCTTTATATTCAGTATGTATTTATTCATTTTATGTTGTCTTTTTATTTGTCATTTAGTAATATGATTTTTTTAATGCTGGTTTGGTTTATCTGGTGGTTGAAATGATGATTATGGAGAGAAATTAAATAAAAAGAGAAAGAGAGGAGAGAGGGAGGAGAAGAGAGAGAGAGGAGAGAGGAGAGAGAGAGAGAGAGAGAGAGAGAGAGAGAAGAGAGAGAGAGAGAGAAGAGTAGAGAGACGATAAAAAACAATAAACAAAAACAACATAACTATGATTCTACAAAAAATAAATGACGGTTAACAAGACAAACAGAAACAAAACAATATATACTCGAATCACAAAAAAAAACGAAAAAATGACACACACAAATAAAAAACAAACAAACACAATTCACAAACTAAACATACAAACTGCATACCCTCCCCCCCCCCCTTCCTCCCCCTCAAGCACCCTGGGGGGGGGGAGGAAGGAAGGGGGTGTTGGGTATGGGCATTTCGACAAGGTTATGTCCTTGTGGCCTTATAAGGAGGCCATCAGTCACTCTACGTGGTAAAAGTCACTACTGAAGATTTTACGTTTCCTTGGCATAGGGTGTCTAATTTGGCGGTTTTGAATAGGCCTATATAATATTTTGATCATTTTTGGGTATTTGTTTCTGTCTATTGAGGTCGGTTTTGAATAGGCCTATATAATATTTTGATCATTTTTGGGTATATTTTTTTTTATTCATTGAGATCTATTTTTGCGTTTTAATGGAGAAAAACACACGCATAGGCCTACGTTATGTGCTGACAGATACACATATAAACAGACAGACATATACGTCCCTGGCATTCAATCCAAAGCCAAAAAACAAACAAACAACAAAGAAACAAGCAAAGAAACAAACAAACCACCATTCTACCATCCGCTGATTGACAACCTCTCCCCCCCCCTCTACCTTCCCCTACACCTCCCCCCCGCCCCCACAACCCTACCGTAGCCTACGCCCACGAAGGAAATTATCACAGGCGTTGTATCTCAGAGGGCGCGATTTAGTGGCGTGTGAGAGAGAGGAAAAGGAGGGGGAGTGGGCGGGGGTTAGGGGGGATAGGGGCGGGGGTTAAGGATAGGGGCGGGGGGGAGGGAGGGGAGGAGGG